TTGGATGATGGATGGATGGTTGGATGATGGATGGATGGTTGGATGATGGATGGTTGGATGATTGATGGATGGTTGGATGATGGATGGATGGTTGGATGATGGATGGTTGGATGGATGATTGATGGATGAATGGATGGATGGATGGATGTTTGGATGGATGATTGATGGATGGATGGATAATTGGATGGATGGATGGATGGATGATGGATTTTGGATGGATGGATGGATGATGAATGGTTGGATGGATGATGGATGGGTGGATGGATGATGGATGGATGCTTGGATGATGGATGGATGGATGGATGGATGATGGATGGATGATGGATGGTTGGATGGATGGATGATGGATTTTGTTGGATGGTTGGATGGATGCTGCATGGATGGATGCTGGATGGATGGATGATGGATGGGTGGATGGATGATGGATGGATGGTTGGATGATGGATGGATGATGGATGGATGGTTGGATGATGGATGGTTGGATGATGGATGGATGATGGATGGATGATGGATGGATGGATGGATGGATGGATGAATGATACAATTGAACATTTGTTAAATAAGAGCTGTTAGCCATTAGCTGTTAGCCGTTAGCTGTTAGCCATTAGCTGTCAGCTGTCAGCAGCCACTCCAACACTCTGACTCGTCCTGGATACTGGAGAGTTAATCCACTTCCTGTCCTGCAGGACTTAATCCCCTTACAGAGAGTCTTACCTGAGCTGTCCACTCTGTCCAGCTCCACTGAGGGTTAAACACAGACCAGAACCAGAACCAGAACCAGAACCAGGAGTTTTGTTTACCGTCCCCTCAGCTGATCTGTCAGCAGAGTCTCTCTTTGGGTTTTAGTCTCAGACACCTGTGTGAAGACAGGAAACTGGATCTTTGTGCCACTCTGAATAAATGATAAGTCAGGAATACACAGTAACATTTAACCCTCGAATTTTAGCTCATTGTGTGAATGCCGAGTCAGCGGTTTTACAATTTCACTACTACTGCAGACGTATTATTTTGTATCAAAACATTCGGCTCATTCAGGAAACTGTTGCTGTACCTTTTGGGTTTTGTAACTTTTATACTTTTCAAAATGTTTGGCTATTAAATATTTTACAAAAAGAAAAACATCAAGAACTTTTCAAATATTTTGAAAAATTGTAGCCCTTTAGCCTTTTGATGGTCTTGCTACATTTAATTTGTAGCTTTTAGATAGTGATTTGCTACTTTTAGCTAACATTTTGTCATTTGTTGTTTTAGCTACCATTCTGCCAGTTTCAGTAGCCTTTTGCTACTTTAGCTTACATTTTACTTTTTTGCTACATTTAGATTTTAGCTAGCTTTTGTTTCTTTTAGCTTTTGGCTAGTGTTTTGTTACTTTTAATTATGGTTTATCTATATTTGTTGTGTTAGCTAATACTGCTTTTTATCTTTAGCTTTCACATTTTAGCTACTGTTCTGTTTTGCTACCTTTAGTCTTTAGATAGATTTCGTTGAACTTTTACTACATTTAGATTTTAGCTAGTTTTTTGGCTAGTTTTAGTTAACATTTTATAATATTTGATTTATAGCTAGAACCTTTTGTTTTCTGGTGTTGTTTTAGCTGCTTTTCTGCTGGTTTTGGCTACTTTTAGCCTTTAGATAGCCTTTTGCTTCTTTAGCTTTCACCTAGCATTTTTGCTATATTTAGGTACTGTATCTGTTTTCTACATCTTTTTTGGTAGATTTTGTATCATAGCTAGATTTTGGCCACTTTTACTAACATTTTGCTACATTAACTTCTTAGCTGGATTTTCTTTTTAACTTTTAGCTCATGTTTGGCCTCTTTTAGCTCAGCTTCTTCACATTAATGATTCTAAATATGGTAGATATTTTTTGCAGGTTGATTCTCTGATTTTAAAGTGTTTAAATATTTTAACGTGTCCACTTCCTGTTCTAATCAAACCTACTTCCTGTTTGCTTTTTCTTTTTCAGCCAGAAACTTCAACCTGCAGAAGTCCGAGGCCATGCTGCGAAAGGTAACGGGCCCGTGTTTGAAGAATCAGCCGGTGTTACGTAACGAGCCAAAGCTCAGAACACCTGTGCAGGTGCACTTAGCTCCGAGCAGCCATCGATGCAGGTGTGGCAGCAGATTAGAGGGAGAGATAAACGCTGAGTCATCAGGAGATTAAACAGACGGGCAGACAGAGGGTTAATTAATGACGGGTTCAGAGCAGTTTACAGTTTATTTATGATGGTTTTATTCCAGGTGAAAATATATCAGGGTGATGTCATCCAGGTACGCTCGGCACACCTGCAGCAAGGCTCTGTGCAAAAGTCTTGATCCACCCTTCATTTCTATAGATTTTCATCCAAGCAGCCAAAGTCTGAAGGTTTTTTCAAACAAATCAATCACCGAAAGTAAAAATAAATTCTCACAACGAAGAGAATATCCTCTGATGGAGGTTCTATTTATGTAGGCCAACAAATATTATGGAAGAAATCCTAATATGGCCTTATAAATAAAAATATACCAGTGACTGAGTCTACGAGTGTCCAAGGCAGTCCATCCAACCTGGCTGTATGATGTGCAATGATGTTTAAAACCTTTAAACCTCTTATAAATCTGAGAGCTCCATGAAAAACAGCATCCAATGAAGAAAGACATTTAAGTTTAGTCCAGTACAGACAAACGTTGCATCAACCAGTCGCTTTCTAGCATCAAAAGATCGATACGATTTAATTCTGACAAAAAATCCCAGTTTTAATCTCAGCTTCTTTACTAGCTGTTGAATATGGGAAGAAAAAAGCCTAAATATTTATACTGGGACACTTTTTCAATTCTCAGACACTCAGCTGTAATGACTAGAAGATCCTTACGTTCAAATCTCTTGTTAGAAAACAGCATCACCTTCGATTTATCTACATTTAACACAAGCTTAAATGTGAAGATTTGTCTGTAAAACATTAAAAGCTGACTGTAGTTGATTGAAAGCATTATTAGGTGAGAGACCAGAGCAATATAAGACAGTATCTTCTGCATAAAAATGGACATTTTGATAAGGCACATTTAAAGTCAGACTAAACAAAAGTGGCCCCAGCACTCACCCCTGAGGAACACCAGAAGAGTTTATGGAGAGAAGAGGAAGCTACTTGAACACACTAGCTGCGTTTCCATTGCAAATGTGCGCAAAACTTTGTCGACATTCTGTTAATGACGAAAAAACAGTTTCGCAATTGCAGTGTTTCCGTTAAGTAAGAAATGTTATAAAGTCACGCGTGAATACGTTTGTTCTCATGATAAGTCATTACAAACATGGCAGCGATGGATGTAAACACATAGCATGTTGCTACCACGACACTAGCGCTCATCATCAGAGGAGACGTCAGCGTCTTATCGAGGCTTTCTAGCGACAAGTCCCTTATACTTGGGAGCGGCTACGTATGCTGTGTTTTTGGGAAATTGTAGTCGGTGAGTTTACTATTTTCTTTTACAACTTTGGTGATTTTACTACTACTTCTACTTCCTGTTTTCTTCTTCGTCATCTTTTTCGCCAGTAGGAACAGCCGGTTCTTGATCACATGACTCCAGTGATGCGAAAAAAGTGTTTCCATTGCAGTTTTGCGAAATACATCAATTTCGAAACGGACGAAAAACCACCTCATCCTAGTGCAAAAACATGTTGTCGAAAAACATAAGTTTTTTTCGAAAGTGACGTGTTTCTATTGAGCAAATTTATTTTCAAATTTCCAATTTGCGCATTTTCATGTTTAATGGAAACGCAGCTACTGAGATCTGTTGGTCAGATGGTTGTCAAACCAACGAAGAGTTTGTTCAGACAATAATAGTGTGAAGCCTCGGTAAGAAAACCTCGTGATTAAATGCATCAAAACTGCAAATTAGATAAAATACGATCAGAAAAAAAAGGTCCAGTTGTAGTTTGACAGGGAGCTGAGGGAGACAAGCTCAAACTAGATGAGTTAAAACAAAAAGTTTTTAACACAGACATTTTCTGTTGCAGCACCTGGAGTTCAGGAAACACTTGAAGGTTGACTCCATCATCTCAGACTGGCGCCCTCCGGAGGTAAAACAGGAAAAAAACACGGATTATTCTTTCAAAACGACACAAATAATGAAAGTCTGCTCCACCTTCAGGTGATCGAGAAGTACCTGTCAGGAGGGATGTGCGGCTACGACCGAGAGGGCAGCCCCGTCTGGTACGACGTGATCGGACCCGTGGACCCTAAAGGCCTCTTCCTGTCCGCCTCCAAGCAGGACTTCGTCAAGTCCAAGATCCGGGACTGCGAGATGCTGCAGCGGGAGTGCAACCTGCAGTCAGAGCGGGTGAGAGCAGAGACGCTCGTTTCGAGGGCCGGTCCTGTTTTTATTTTCTAATCTTTATTTTTATGTCACAGCTGGGCAGGAACGTGGAGTCCATCACCATGGTCTACGATGTTGAAGGTCTGGGTCTGAAGCATTTATGGAAACCTGCCATCGAAACATACGGAGAGGTGAAGCGTTAAACGTTTAATGTAAGACTCACTACAGCCAGCTGCTGACGGGTCTGCTTTACAGATCCTCCAGATGTTCGAGGATAATTACCCCGAAGGCCTGAAGAGGCTGTTTGTCATTAAAGGTGAAGTTCCGGAATAAAAACTGTTTGTTTTTAAATAAACAAATAATCTGAACAAAAAGTCTGTTTTTAATTTGTCTCTTCCAGCTCCGAAGCTCTTCCCTGTGGCCTACAACCTCGTCAAACACCTTCTGAGCGAGATCACACGACAAAAGATCCACATCCTGGGAGGTGAGAGCCGATCCAGACCCGACCCGAATCAGTCCTGAGAACTAAACTGACTAAAACAAACCAGAAAGAGGCTAAAACAGAGCAGAAAATGAGCTAAAATTAGCAAAACATTTGCTAAAATAAAACAAATGCTAAAGCTAGAATTACCAAGAGTAGCTAAAAAAAAGATTTTATAGTTGCATAAAACAAAACGGTTAAAAGATTAAACAACCCAGGATGGTAACTAAAGACACCAAAACAGCAGAAGAGTAGCTAAAGTTGAAAATACAAACTAAAAGCTGAAAGCTGAAAAACAGGAGCTAAAAGTAGCAATAGTTTAAAATTAGAAAAACAGATAAATGTAGCAAAAGATGCTAAAGTTGAAATAAATCAAAATAGTAGTTAAAAGCTAAAGAATAGGATGGTAACTAAAGACAAAAAGTAGCTAAAGAAAAGAAAGAAAAAGGCAGAATAGTGGCTAAAAAGTGGCAAAACGACTGCTCAAACTGTCAAAACAGATCAAATTTATAAACTTCAATGGTAGCTAAAATCTAAAACTTTCAAAATAACACCTAAAAGTAGCAAAACCAAAATAAATAAATAAAACTAAAAGCAACAAAACAGAAGCTGCAGTTGAACTAAGCATAGTGTCACCTTTTGACATGGAATGACCCAGGGCACAGGCAGAGTTTGGGTGTAGCAAAACAAAGTCTTTAATAAATCAAAGACGCTGGCGAGGCAGCTGAAAAACTCACACTAAGAGACGTGGCAGAAACTTCAAGGACAAGGGAAAACAAGACAAGCTTTGCAGCACAATGGGCCTCATGTAAGAACATGTTCGTATTCTTCTCCTAAATTTCTCTTACCTTTGTTCGTACAAAGGGTTCGTACGAACATGTCACGTCAGATTCAACAAACTCTTCTATCTTCAGGAAAAGTGTGTAAATGAGCTGCGTAAATTCAGCTGTTCTATCCAGCTGCTCGTGCACGCGAGAGGAGATTAGCATAATTACCACCCCAAAAACACCATATAAGGCTGTGTTTCCTGCCTCAGATATCAGGAAGTGTTCATTCATGAAAATGAGAGCAAAAATTAAAAAAAACTTTACGAGTTCAGAGATTGAAGTCCGTCTGTCAGAGATCCAGAAAAGAAAATCTGTCATTTTTAGCAGGTCAGCTGTGGAATAAAAAGAGCTGCTAAAAGTATAAACAACTGTGTTAAATCATTTTCATTTATTCAGAAGACACAGCGCTGCGCACCGTACCACCCCCCCACCCCGCAAGTGGTCTCAGTTGCGGTTCTGAAATAAGCATTTTAAAATGTTTTCAAAATAAGTCTGGCACTTTGGAGAAAATCCAGGACTCGCTGGAGGGATTATGTATCCCCTCTGGTCTGGGAACGTCTCAGAGTCCCCCAGGACGAGCTGGAAGGTGTCGCTGGGGAGAGCGGGGTCTCTCTGCTGTCCCCCGCACCTGATCCTGGATAAGCGGCGGAAAACGGACAAACAGACAATTTATATTGTTAGTCTAAATTATTACATTTAAAATTATAACTCTAATTCAAGCAGAATAGCCTATTGTCAACATAATTATGGAGTGTGATTTATTTTCAACTCAAAATATCTTCAAACTAATGAAATATAAAGTTCTTAGTGAAGAAAACCCGTCTGGATAACAGCAGACTGACTGCTGGTAAAATATACGACAGGTCTGGACCACTCCTGAATTTTGTTCGTATCTGAAAAAAATCTTAGAATACGAAAACATTGGTGAATGTCACAAATTCTCCTAAATCACTCGTACGCACAACTTAACAACAAATCTGTGTGTACCAACGGTTCTTGCATGAGGCCCAATGATCCGACGCAGACTGAACACAGGACACTGAATATAAAGGTAAACTAATGATCACAAACAAGAAACACCTGGGGGAAACACAAGGGGAAGCAGGTGAACGAGGGCGGGGCACTAATCAGAGAACACACGGGAAACACTGAAACACTAGAAAAAAACCAAGGCACAAAATAAGACTATGACACATAGCTGTAGTAAAATGAGAAAAACGGTAATGAGAAGTTAAAAGCCACACAGAATAGTAGCTAAAAGTCAAAGTAGCTAAAACAAAAGCTAAAACATTGTAAGCATTAAAATGAGTAGCTAATGCTAACACTTCATGACATCAGTTCAGGATCTGTGTTGGGTTCTGGTTCTGCAGCCAACTGGCAGGAGGTTTTACTGAAGCACATCGATGAAGAGGAGCTGCCGGCCATCTACGGAGGCAAACTGACGGACCCTGACGGAGACCCTCGCTGTCGGAACAGGGTGAGTGGACACGCCCACAAACCTCAGAAACGTCTGCGCTGGTTGGAGGAGACGAGTATCCATCATCAGGGTTTGATTGACAGGTCTGATCAGAAACTTCACGCAGGTGGAACTTTATTTACTGAAAACCTGAAGAGACTCCATCAGGTTCAGCTTTCCTCTCAGATCTTCATATCTGAGGATTCAGAGTCAGCGTGTTTCTTTGTTTGTCTTGATTGTGCGTCGTAAAGTCGTCGACTTTGTGTTACAGTATCTTTACTGCTGCACCTCGCTCAGTCACACACACAAAGTGCAACTGAGGAAAGAAAGACCATAAATTACGTCTGATGGCAGATGTTTGCTCACACAGCTTCGGCAGCTCATCAGTGGTTAGCAACGTTAGCACTGTTAGCATCGTTAGCAAGAAGGTCCTGAGTTCAAGCCAGGGTTGTTATTTTCCTTATTTATAAGATCTAATCCTCCACGTTTAACGAGGAGAAAATGGTTAAACTGCTGTCGGTGGATACGAGTCTGATTCCAACTGCAGCTGCTTATCCTTCCTGTAGAGCATGTGTGTCAAACTCAAGGCCCGCAGACCAAATGTGGCCCGCCACACAATATTATGTGGCCTGTAATAACTCCAAAGATGTTTTTATGTCTTAAAATAAAATGTTTAAAGCCATAATTGACCTTAAAACTACGTCTCCCACAATGCATGCTTATTTTTTTCCACCTAGTGGGTGATATTGACAAAAAAATCATCTTGATTAATTGTGGAATTTAGCCAATAACGATTAATATTTTGATTAATATGTTTCTGAGTCTAAATCAGTCACCGTGTTCTAAAATTATAAATGACCAGTACAACTAACGTCTTCATTTCAACAGTTACACCCCACGTTATCCCTTCCAGCTTTCTTTTTGATTCTTGTAAAAGACAGATTGACTGAGAGAATCCTGGATTCTCGCCTGAGTAGATTTGTTTCCAACATTCGCTGGAGGAGAGTTTATTGTGGCCTCGATGTTGTGTCAACATTTTCTGTCCTTTTTAGGGTTGATAATGGTGATTCAAGTTCATTAAACAAGTTTAAAGTGTTAGCTCTGCATTATTAGCTCCACATTAGTGCTAGCTCCATGTTAATGTTAGCTCCGCGTTAGTATTAGCTTCACGTTAACATTAGCTCCACATTAGTGAAAGTTCCATTTCAATGTTAGCTACACATTAGTGTTAGTTTCAAATTAACATTAGCTCCTTGTCAGTGTTAGCGTCGTTTCAGTGTTAGCTCTGCATTATTAGCTCCACAATAGTTTTAGTCCATGTTAATGTTAGCTCTGCATTAGTATTAGCTTCACGTTAACATTAGCTCCATGTTAGTGTTCACTCCATTTCAGTGTTAGCTACACAATAGTGTTAGCTCCATGTTAATGTTAGCGCTGCATTATTAGCTCCATATTAGTGTTAGCTCCATGTTAACGTTAGCTCTGCATTAGTATTAGCTTTGCGTTAACATTAGGGCTGCCACAAACGATTATTTTTATAATCGATTAATCACCGATTATTTATTCGATTAGTCGACTAATCAGATCATACATTAATTGAATATAAAACATACAGCTTATCACGTCAGAATGCAGCTGCTATTGTATAACCATGGTTAGATTTTAGCTATATGCTAACTAAAAATAATTGCTGTGGAAGGTAAGTTCTGCTCTGCAGATATTACACAGGTTTCTCTTTCATTTTCTTAAAATGATCCCACACTTTGAGCTCTGTTGTCAGGTAGCCATAATACCAGAGCCTGTCTGTATAATGTCTTGTGACGTCCACGGCCTACCCCAGTACCACTACTGTGCATGTGTGTCAAGGACAGAAAGGCAGATGTGGCAGTGGAAGGTGTCAAAGCAGTTTGGAGAGAAAAACAAAGTAAAGAACAAAAAAAGAAAACGATTAATCGATTATTAAATTAGTCCGATTATTTTAATAATCGATTAGTCGTCGATTAATCGATTAATCGTGGCAGCCCTAGTTAACATTAGCTCCACGTTAATGTTCGCTCCATTTCAGTGTTAGCTACGCATTAGTGTTAGTTTCACGTTAACGCTAGCTCCTTGTCAGTGTTAGCTCCGTTTTAGTATTAGCTACATGTTAATGTTTGCTCTGCATTAATGTTAGCTCCAGGTTAGTGATAGCTTTGAGTTAGTGTTGGTTCAGCTTTAGCATTAGCATTAGCTCTGTGCCAAAGTGACCTATATGTCATTAATTGTAGTACTCACAAAGTGGCAAACATTAATTGGTGGCAGTTTTTCTGATTAATTGCACATGACACTATTTTTCACAACCCTAATCCCAGCATTAGGAGATTCACAGGGTTCAAAAGTAACAGGCAGCCGGCAAAATTTGGTGTGTAAAATTTCCATCTTGCTGTATTTTCATTGGCTAACTTTATAAGAGGATGTATTATAACGCTGTTTCTATGCAGGGAATACCATGTAGAGCTCAGTTATTGCTTGTTAGTAGTGCTCAGGAATGTGACTTTTCATATTTAAACCTGAAATGTTGAAGTTAATTACAACCATGATGAGTTTGACACCACTGACAGTTTGTTTGCTCCTGTAGTTCTCAGCAGCTTTGCTTTAGCCAAACTCCATCTGGATGACATGCAGCTGATAATATTACAGCTTTTAATTTGAATAGCAAACTATGTTTCATGTGAGCTCTTTGCCCACCAGATTTTCCTGTTCTGAAAACAAATCATTTTCCTAAACAGTGATAAAGTCACGTCTCGTCCCAGGTACCAAACAGCAAAACAAATGGGACTTTCTATGGGATAAATCTTGTGCCAGCAGGAAGTGAATTAGAATTGCTCAGATTGAATCTGAATGTGCATAAATTGAATGCGTTGGTTTGAAAATAAATTTCACTAATTTGAAACTGAATCTAAAGTTTTGTATTTGAATTGATTTGCTTTGAAACTGTGTTTTGGTTTATTAAAAATTCAGTTTGACTACTTTCACTTTCAGTTCCATAATTCAGATCTTTGTGTCACATCCTGGTCCTTGAGAAAGCCAGGCAGAGTAATCAAACACAGATCCACAGATTTATGTTTCACTTTGGTGAAGTTTCCCTTCTGGATGTAACAGAGTTGATGCAATCCACTGTAAAAGTGACAAAAACAGACAAAGTTATTTTATTGCAGTGATTAATTTGACCTATATGTAGAAAATGTTACATTTACATCACATCATGGATCAGTCAGCAGCAGCATCTGATCAATATGTGATCCATGATGTGATGTAAATGTAACATTTTCTACATATAGGTCAAATTAATCACTGCAATAAAATAACTTTGTTTCACTTTTACAGTGGATTGCATCAACTCTGTTACATACAGAAGGGGAACTTCACCAAAGTGAAACATAAATCTGTGGATCTGTGTTTGATTACTCTGCCTGGCTTTCTCAAGGACCAGGATGTGACACAAAAATCTGAATTATGGAACTGAAAGTGAAAGTAGTCAAACTGAATTTTTAATAAACCAAAACACAGTTTCAAAGCAAATTAATTCAAATTCAAAACTTTAAATTTAGTTTAAATTTTGTAAAATTCATTTTCAAACCAAACTTAATTTCAAATCATTCACATTCAGATTCAATTTGAGCAATTCAAATTCAGTTCCTGCTGACACAAGATTGATCCCATAATTTTCTGCAACAGTTCTGGATTCGACTGGAGTTTCAGCAGTAAAATCAGATCCTGTTCGACAGAAACGAACCCGTTAAAAACTGATTGTTTTATCGAGCTGCATGAAACAGAATCCAGACAGGTGAGTGTAGATGTCAGTGTTTTCCCGCATCGCTGAGCTGAACGTAGTTTTACTTCAGATAATCCCGAGTTGAACAGAACCTGACCCGTGTTCCTTACTGTGTCTTCAGATTATTAACTGGGCCCGGGACAGATGAGGAACTGAAGCCCAGAAATTTGTTCTGACTTCGTTGAAGATTTTTTTTGTTTGTTTTTTGCCTCAAATTGTTTTTTTTTTGTTGTTGTTGACGTCTCCTGTTAGTTCTCTGTGTGTCTCTGTGGTTTCACAGGTTGTGTTGTTTTTCTGACCTGAAAATGGACTACATGTAGAGTCATGCAGGTTCTGGTTCAGACACATAATTATTGTCTTGTTAGAGTTCGGCTTCATATTCTGTTACTATAAAGGCTCTTTGTGTTCAGCTGCTGGTTGAAAATTAAAGCTAAAAACCACCTCATTTGTTTAACAAATAAGCATTTTTTATTCACGGTGCCGTGAAAAAAACTTTCATCCCTCTTGGTTTTTGTTAAATAAAACTGGAAATTTAAACCGATTAATTGGTTAATTTGAAACAGTGATTGGATATCGACAAATTATTATGTCCAAATGTCTCCGGGTCCTTCAGGTTGGTCCAACAATCATCAAATCAGACCAGTTCAGACTTGGACTGAGGTCTGGGCTGTAACTGGACCAGTTCGTAGTCTCAGATGTGACCCTGAGGTTTGGTCCCGTCTGATCACAGAACCTAACAGTCCAGCTTCGTATGTCTTTGATCCTTCCTGCCTGTCCTCCATGAAGCTGGACTTTGTGCTCCTTCTGATGGACCTGTGGACCTGCAGGACCACTAGAAGCTCCATCAGGGTCACATTTGGACTCCTGGTTGAAGCTGCTCTCTTGGCAGATTTGGTTCTATGTTCTAATGATGGATTGAAAGGAACTTTGCGGGATGATCAACCCCTGATCTTTGTGGAGAGTTTCTTTGGTGCTAATGCTAACGCTAACCCAGAGCTAACACTTAGCTAACATGAACACTGAGCTAATGCTAACACGTAGCTTAGCACTGACGCTAACACTAAAGCAGAGCTAACACTAACACCAAGCTAACACTAACAAGGAACTAGCACTAACACAAAGCTAACACTAACAGAAAGCTAGCACTAACGTAGCACTGATGCTAACACTAAAGCATAGCTAACACTAACACCAAGCTAACACTAACAAGGAGCTAGCATTAACACAATGCTAACACAAATGTGGCACTGATGCTAACACTAACACAGAGCTAACACTAATGTGGCACTGATGCTAACACTAAAGGGCTTGACAAACGGGCAGTGACAATTTACAGCGATTAACGGCTGTCATCGCAGCCAGGGTGAAACCCGACACACGGGACGCGATAGCGATCGCAGCGTTGCGAATCGCGCTCTCAGGTCACTTGTCTTCACAAAATTTGATTGGTTCTTGACTCTGAAGGCGGGTGTGCTTTACGGACGTGTTATCTAAACAAATCTTGTGATGCTAATGATATTGAAAAACAAACACACATCAAGATACAGTTTTATGAGGAAAAACTTACCATAAACTTCACCCTGGTGCCAGTAAATTCCCACAAAGCTTTTTAGTAATCACTTGGTGAAAGTGTTAGCTAACTGCAGTGTGTAGCATACTCTCCTCTCATTGGTCAATCAATGAAACCCTCGCTGATTGACTGCATGCTAAGCGACAAAAGTTGAACATTTTTCAACTATCATATGTCGCGTCGCAAGCTCGCGTGTGCACGTCTACGTGTACGAGCGCTAAATTTCACATGCACTATTTTCGCCGGTCGCTTAGCTGGAGGAGGGCAAGCGATTGTCGCCTCACCGCACTGGCTCCATAGGAAATGAATGGAGAGCGAGCGACGTCGCCTCCCGTGTGTCGAGCCCTTAACAAGGAACTAGCACTAACATGGAGCTAACACTAATGTGGCACTGAGGCTAACACTAACATAGAGCTAGCACTAATGTAGCACTGATGCTAACACTAACACAGAGCTAGCACTAATGTGGCACTGATGCTAACACTAACAAGGAGCTAGCACTAACACAGAGCTAGCACTAACGTGGCACTGATGCTAACACTAAAGCAGAGCTAACACTAACACCAAGCTAACAAGGAGCTAGCACTAACAATAATGTGCAGCTAATGTTAAAGTGGAGTTAATGTTAACACTACAATACAAATTTGTCAACTTAAAACACCACTATCAACCAAAGAAAAGATAGAAAATGTGAAGTGAAGCCACAGTATTTTCTGAAACAAACTCTCCTACAGTGAACAGTGGAAACGAATCCACTCAACTAACGTTATCCAGGACACTCTCAGTCAGTCTGTCCTTTATGAGCGGCAAAATAAACACTGGAAGGAGATAATGAGGAGCGTGGCTGTTAAAATGAAGACTGAGGCTCATGTATGGGATAAATTTTGTGCCAGCAGGAATTGAATTTGAATTGCTCAGATGATCATAGATCAGTCAGCAGCAGCATCTGATCAATATGTGATCCATGATGTGATGTAAATGTAACATTTTCTACATATAGGTCAAATTAAATAATAATAAATAAACCAAATTAAATAATAAATAATTAAAGTGAAAGTAGTGAAACTGAATTTTTAATAAACCAAAATACAGTTTCAAAGAAAATTAATTCAAATACAGAACTTTAAATTCAGTTTCAATTTAGTGAAATTTATTTTCAAACCAATGCATTTAATTTTAAATTATGAACATTCAGATTCAATCTGAGAAATTCAAGTCAAGTCAAGTCAAGTCATCTTTATTTATAGAGCACAGTTAAAACAGATAAACTGCTATCAAGGTGCTTTTACAACAGACAGAAAAAGATATAACAGCAATAAATATATCAAAAATATATATATCAAATTCACTTCCTGCTGGCACAAGATTTATCCCATACTCACGGGCCACATAAAATGCCATGGTGGGCCACGTTTGGCCCGCAGACCTTGACTTTGCTTGGACCTGTGCTCCAAGGCAAAAAACAGAAATATTACCAAGAGGGATGAACTTTAGCGAGGTGCTGAACACAAAGTCCAGCACAGATTCTGGACTTCAGTTTGTATGACAGCCTTCATGTTGGAGAAACTGAATAAACAGAAAAGTGAAAGTCATCTTTTTGTCGATGACGTCTAAATGTTTCAAATCAAACCTTACAAGCTCTCAGACAGAAACAGTAAGTGAAGCTTTTTAACTTGAACTTCTCATGTTAGAGCGTCTGACACTTTATGTTTGAACTCTTGGTGTCTCTGTTGCAGATAAACCACGTGGGACCCGTCCCCCCCTCTTATTATGTGCGGGACCACGTTAAGGTGGACTACGAGAGCTGCCTGACCATCGGCCGGGGGTCCTCCCAGCAGCTGGACTTTGAGATCCTGTTTCCGGGCTGCGTCCTGCGGTCAGTCACCTGCCGATCGTTTTTATACGCTCGACACTAAAACCTGAAGTGTTTTTTCTTTTGAACGTGTTGGCTGGACGACTCCACCGGTGAAGAGCAGATCTACCAAACTGTCAAACATGGCTGTGTCTCACGTTTACAACACAACACTCCTGAATAATTAGCTCCTGTTATTCCTCTGAAAACAATAAAAAACACTGAAGGTTTAAATTAAGGCAGATTCTGCTGGAAAAAGTAACAAAAGACACAACGTGGGTCAGAACACGGTTTGAAGATCTTCTCTCAGCTTAAGTTCAATATGTTTGTTTTGGCTAATGTTGATTAGCAGCGGCGGCCATCTTGAACTGCGTCCAAACCTTCATTACTCGTAGACGGACGTCCGGTCGATGTTTTCTGAATGTTTCATTAAAGTCCGGTCAGTTCTTCCTGACATGTTTCAGTAACAGAAACACGTCATTATCTGAGTTCTTCCTCACGGAGGAGAGAGACGAAAAGTTTTATTTTCAGATCAGTCAGTGCCGAGTCATAAGAGCCAGGTCTGCTTCAATGTCAGAACAGAAGCTAAAATAAGAACAGAAGCTAAAATGAGCATAACTGTAGCTAAAATAAGCATAACTATGGCTAAATTGAACAAATGCTAAAATTAGCATAACTGTGGCTAAAATGAGCATAATAGCAGCTAAAATGAACATAACTGTAGTTAAAATGAGGATAACAAATGCTAGTAGCGAAAATGATTACAACAGAAACTAAAATTAGCATAGCTGTAGCTCAATGAGCATAACTGTAGCTAAATTGAACAGAACAGATGCTAAAATTAGCATAACTGTGGCTAAAATGAACATAATTGTAGCTAAATGAGCAGAATAGTAGCTAAAATGAACATAGCTGTAGCTAAAATGAGCATAATAAACACTAGTCGCTAAAATGAACAGAAGCTAAAATGAGCAAAACTGTGGCTAAAATGAGCATACAGTAGCTGTAGCTAAATGAGCATAATAAACACTAGTAGCTAAAATGAACAGATACTAAAATTAGCATAGCTATGGCTAAAATGAGCATAGCTGTAGCTCAATGAGCATTACTCTAGCTAAACTGAACAGAACAGATGCTAAAATTAGCATAACTGTGGCTAAAATGAGCATAGTTATAACTAAATGAGCAGAATAGTAGCTAAAACGAACGTAATTGTGGCTAAAATGAACAGAACAGAAGCTAGAATGAGCATAGCTGTAGCTAAATGAGCAGAACAGCTAAAATTAGCATAACAGATGTTAAAACTAAAATTAGTAAAACAAATGCTTAAATAAGCAAAACAGCAGTGGAAGCTTAAATGTTGGCTAAAATTAGCAAAATGTACTAAATATAAAATAAACTGAACAGTAGCTAAAATGAGTAAATGTTTTAAAGCTAAAATGAGCATTAGCACAACAGCTGCTAAAGTTAACAGAGTGAAAGTTGTTTTGTTGGGTTTTTGTGCCTCGATATGATTTTGTATTTGATGGGTTCAGGTCTGGTTTTCAGTCACGTCTTCTTCTATGGTGTCTAAAAGTTTTAAAGACATAAAAACTAATTTAATGTGTGGAACTGTTTTTATTTCAGCTGGTATTTTGCCAGCGAGGGGGCAGACATCGGTTTCGGCGTGTTTCTAAAAGCTAAAATGGGCGAGTGGAAGAAGGCCTCAGAGATGCAGGAAGTGGTCCCCAGCGACAGGTACAACGCCCACCTGGTCCCGGAGGACGGCTCTCTGACCTGCGAGCGTCCCGGAGTCTGTGAGTCCCTGCTTCAGCTCCTTATTCAAAGTTCAGCACCGAAACAAGCTAAACTTCGGCTCTTTCTGTTTCGACACAGACGTGCTGAGGTTTGACAACACCTACAGCATCTTCCAGACCAAACGGGTCAGCTACACCGTGGAGGTCCTGCTGCCGGACCACCTGCAGTCCCCCAGCAGGAAACCTGGAGACCAACCGCAAGTCAACGGCAACAACAACAACAACAGCAGCTAGTCACAACAACAACAACAGCTAGTCACAACAACAACAACAACAACAGCTAGTCACAACAACAACAGCTAGTCACAACAACAACAACAGCTAGTCACAACAACAACAGCTAGTCACAACAACAACAACAACAACAGCTAGTCACAACAACAACAACAACAGCTAGTCACAACAACAACAACAAAAACAACAACAACAACAACAACAACAACAATAGGAACAACAACAGGAAGAAGAACAGGCGGTCCAGTCAGGGATGTTTGTCCGATGCTGTAAACAGAACCTGCTGCTCAGAGACTTAAAGTTATTTTTATTTAATTTAAACATCTTTAATCATCTGCTCCGACAGAACTCAGGTCCGTCAGCAGGAAGGTGGACGACAGAACGTCGAGGCTCCTCAGAGGAACAATTTTATTTTATTTTGAGACTAAAGTTGAAACATTATTTACAGTAAAAAAACAAAACTTTTTTTTTCAGACAGAACTGAAGGTAGAAGCAGCAGAGCTGAACCGGTCTGAGGTCCGCTTTGTTCCTGCTGCAGCAGAACTCACAGGTGTTTCAGTCCTTCACAATAAGAGTCTCAATAAAACAGGCCTGACGTCTAAACACTAAAAAAAAAAACCCTCGAACTCAAGACCAGTGGCTAAAATAAATAAAACTCAGGCCAAAAACAGCCGAACAGTAGCTAAAATGAAAAGTAGCTAAAATGAAAAGTAGCTAAAATAAAAACAGACAAGTATCCAAAATATGTATCAAATTAACTAAAATGAGCAGAAAAGGAGCTAAAGAGTCAAAGAGTGGCTAAAATGAGTAGAACAGCAGCTTCAGTCAGAGGTGTTTCAGGTAATGTCAGCACTCAGGGTGAGTTTCAGACTCTTATTGTGAAGGATTCAAACCAGTTCTGCAGCAGCTGTAATAAACCACACCTCAAACACTGCTGTTATTTTGTCTTTTACTCAGTATTTATGATGAAAACTGGAACGAGTTCAGCTGCGTCTGAACAACTGATGTTTCTGTTCAAACTTATTTAGAAACAAAATGTTATTATTGCAGCTTTAAACCTGAAATCAGGCCCAGTTTGTCGTTGAACACTGATATTTAAAAGCACTTCATATATTTTTTAGTTTCTCAAAGAACCAAAATGGAGGTGATGATAAAAATACAGAATGTGTTTTATTCTACGCACAATAATTTATTTTATTTTAAGTGCATGTTGTTTAAAATGTGTAAAATATTCATGTACAACTTTGAATCATGTTTAAATCTTCTGTAAATGTTTTTCTATGAAACAAACGCTACAATCTGAAGGGTGAAACACACACACACACACACACACACACACACACACACACACACACACACAC